TGGGACGTGACGTCAGCTCTACGTCACCGTTGATTAATGAGCGAGCTTTGTTCCTGCCGAGGTCAATTACATCCAACCCATCCCCTTTCTACTACGAATTCACGACTGCAGGCTGTGCCTTTTGATCTAAATCTTTTTTTCGTACGACAGAAACGCGCGTACGCTCGCATAAAGACAAATGTATCTCGGTTTAAAAAAGCGAAAAACGTTATAATGCGCTCGCGGATTTATTCTCAGTAATATATTAAATTAGCTTAACAGGCTCGTGCTTAAATATGCAGTTATAATCATTCCAGTAAAAATAATTATTACTGCACCATCTTGCAATGTGCCGCGAGTAATATCCGCGTATTTTTGCGTGCGTGGCTGCGTAATTTGTTGACTCGCTTAACGATTCGAACGAAAAGTTTATCGTTACGCGAAAGCTCTTAAAAGGTCGACCACTGGGTTAGCAGATAAAAGTTTTACGCGAAAAGTCGCGGACACGGTGAAACGGAGTGTATTCGCCCATCGATCTTAGACTTTCGAACAAGCCGCGGTCGGATCGAGAAAAATGAGTCTTTGTGAGTGCACGTGCAGAGCGGTGCTGTTTGCGGTTAAGAATGGTGGAAGGAGCGAAAAACGAGAAAGGAAGAGGAAAGTTGCCGCGTTAGGTAGCCATGGCAGCGGATGAGATTGCAAAAGCGTTCCATCGGGGTGTAAATCGATCGATATAAGTTCTAGTCGGTTCGCTCGGGCTCAACGGGAATAATATTCTTGGAACGTATGATCGATTTCAGAGGATATAGGAAGTGCAGCAAGAAATGCGGCTACGTGCGGCAAAATGATTTCGAAATCGTAATTAAATTAAATTCAGTTCTAGACAGAGCTAATGTTTTCTCTCTCTCTTTCTTTTTTTTTTCTTTTTAATAAAAATGTAGAGTTAGCGTTTCAATATACGTACGAGTGACGGGTAACAACTAGACAGGTTTCAGCAAAATTAACATACCGTACTTCACTGGCGCAGTAATTTCCGTACACTGGAATTTCGCGGTACTGTCTCTCTATGACAGTGACATATTCACGATGCTACTAGCTTTACGAGACCACGTGAATCGACTTCCAAGCTTCATACATCTCGGTAAATTCTAATCCCAAAATCCCAAAAATCCCCCCTGTTTATTCTTTATTTTAAAATAGAATTCGCATTTTATATTTGAAAACAATTATGAAAGAATTACTTTTAGAGTTTTTTTATATTATAAATTTTTCCGCTCGCAATATTTCTCGGAAATTATTTACTATACTGATAAAAAATTTATTATATGACAACTGATTAATCTCACAAAAACTTTTTCCAAGATTTACTTCTTATAAGAATATGCTTCTCTCTTGTATTCTATTAGAGAGTATGTACCCTCAAATTTTTTAAATATTTTAAATATTTTATCTTTTTAAATACATAGTTTTTCACGCTTTAATTTATTAAAACTTTTGTTTTAATCTGATTAAATTTAATACAACACATATTCAAAATTATCGTAATAAAGGATATATAAATTAACGCAATATAAATTAAATTTAAATGAAACTCACCGATGTTGTCAAAATAGGCTGCTACATTATATCAACTGTTGAAAACCGATGTTGTCAAAATAGGCTGCTATATTATATCAGCTGTTGAGGATATTCTATAAAAGACATAAAATATTTAATAAAGATTTATACACTTTTTTACTAAAAAATTTTATTTTATAAAAATTTATTTAAAAAAAAGTGTACGTTTTAATAAAAATTTTAATTTATTCAAAAAGAGATAACACTGAAAAATGTAAAGTTTGTCAAAATTTATATATTGTATTGTCTATAAATGACAATACATTTTATTTTACAATTTAATTTATAGAAATGTGTCAATATGACCATTAATAGTTCATCAAAGCGTTATTAGGGAATGGTATCAAATTATCGTAAATAAATGAATAGTCAGAATCATACGAATAAAGCATAAATGAATTTACTCACCATAGTTAATATATCGTTAATGTTTTCTCTTAACAAGAACACACACACACTCACACAAACATGAATCAGTCAATAAGATGCAGCTAATTACGATCGCGAATACTAATTATTGGATGCGACATTCGATTGTCATTTGCAATACGTTTCGGTATTTACATTTCAATTTATCGGCTCAACATTTCAAGTAAATTTGGATATATAACACAAATTGCATAAAATAATTGAATTAAAGAAAAAAACGATTGATTGCCCGATAATTCATTCGACACTTTTCATGACCGCTTATAAAACTATATAATACGACTTCATCTTTTCACTTCATGCATATCAGAGTCTTTAGAACACGGAACACAGCTAATTAGCGTCACGTACTTTAACATGATTGATAGATCATGATATAATTGTTCGATTGTCCCTCAATTACTACTCGACATGGATGAATAGCGCAAATCGCGGTAGTCACACGTCGAATATTTGTTAACACACACGACATTTTGACATGATGAAAAATACAATACATGCTAATCTCAAACCTGAATATTACAGAAAGATGCGTAATGAATGACGATAATCATGTCGAACGAAATGCGCTCAAGACGACATAATCGCGCGGGAACCTGTTACACAATGAATCTTCTCCTTCCTTATTGTCACATGATTGGCGACACGACAGTTTGACACGTTAAAAATTTGATGAAAGCAAAAGTAACTACCAAATAATGATGCTAATTCTGAAGGCATCCGCGATGTCGCATCGATCAGACGTCGATAAAAAGGGTCGATTAATGGATCGATAGAAAAGTCGATTAATAGATTGAAAGAAAGGTCGATTAATCGATCGATAAAAAGTGCATGTGTCCGACATCGATAGAACGCGATTAGGAGCAGAGTCCTAATTGCGCCATCACGCGACTACTCTCATTAACTAATGCGTTGTTTTAAGTTTTTGGTTGGTACTTGTGACATGGTCACCAATAAGGAAAATTTATTGCATGACAGGTTCCCGCGCAGTAACGTCGTCTTGCAACATATTTCGTTCGACGTATGATTATCGTCATTGGTTACGCATCTTCCTGTAATATTCAGGTTTGAGATTAGCATGTATTGTATAAACGCCATCGCGAGATATATGACTGCTTTTATGTTGCATGAATTTTCGACTCGCGAATGTACGTCCTTGTACGTGATAACCTCTATCGCGGTATCGATCAAAGAGATGAGTGATCATAATGTGAAGTGATCGTAGCGTCAAAAGCATCAGGTACATCGGGATTATCGAATAAATGTTCGTCGTACAACGAGTTAATCATACGAATGTACGTCCGACAGGTAAACTATCTGCTATAATAATATTGCGTTCGGCGTCAATAAAACAGCAAAACAATTGCGCGACCGCCATAATTGTCTCGCGTTCTTTATTGCTCCAAATTTTCCGTTGGCATCTTGCACACAGTCACCAATCAAGCGACAATAATAAGGAGCGGATTCAGTGTGTAATAATTTCCCGCGCGTTCTCATCGTATTGCACTACATTCCGTTCGATACATGATTATCGTCAGTGATTACGCATGTTCTGTGATATTCGGGTACGAAGTGCTGTGCTCCATGTTAACATCATCGCGAAATATGACTGTTTTTGCGTTGCACAAAATAGACTGTTTTCGATTCGCGAATGTACATCGTCGTGCGTGATAATCTCTATCGCGGTATCGATCGAAAGGACGAGTGATCATAATATGAAGTATCGGGTACATCGGGATTATCGAATAAATGTTCGTCGTACAACGAATTAATCATACGTATGTACGTCCAACGGGTAAATATCTGTTATAATAATATAGCGCTTGGGCATCAATAAAACAGCGGAATCATTGCGTGACTGCCATAATTGTCTCGTGTTTTTTGTTGCTCTAAATTTACAGTTGGCATCTTGTATACTGTCACCAATCAAGCGACAATAATAAGGAGGGAATTTAGTATGTAACAATTTCCCGCGCGTTTTCATCGTGTTGCGTCGCATTTCGTCCGATACAGATTATCGTCACTGATAATGCATGTTTCTGTAATATTCGGGTATGAAATTGACGTGTTTCGTGTAAACATCGTCGCGTAATATGACTGTTTTTGTGTTGCACGAATTTTCGATTCGCGAATGTGCGTCGTCATGCTGATAATCTGTCACGGTATCGATCGAAGGGACGAATGATCATAACATAAAGTATCGCAGCATTGGAAGCATTGGATATATCGGGATTCTGGAATAAATGTTCGTCGTACAACGTTAATCATATGAATGTACGCCCGACAGGTAAATTAGCTCTAATAATAATATTGCGCTCGGTATTGATAGAACAGCAGGGTCATCGCGCGACCACTATTATTATCTCATATTATACGTCATTCTGCATTTTTGGTTGGTATTTCACAATTCTGTCGTCAATCAAATGACAGGAAAAAAGAGCGCAATTTATCGTGCAATAGTTTCGCGCGCTTTTAGGTCGTGTTGAAACGCTTTCCCTCCGATGCATGATTCTCGCAACTAATTATATATTTTCTCGTGATATTCAGGTTTGAGATTAGCATGCTTTATGTAAACATTATTACGAAATACATGACTATTTTTATGTTGCATGATTTTTCGATTCGTGAACGTACGTCATGTATCGTAACCTCTGTCGCGGTATCGATGGAAGAGACGAGTGATCATATTATAAAGTATCGCAGCATTAGAAGCATCGGATACTTTGGTATTCTCGAATAAATGTTCGTCGTACAACGTTAATCGTGTGAATGTACGTCCGACAGGTAAATTAGCTTTAATAATAATATTGCGCTCGGTATTGATAGAACAGCAGAGCCATCGCGCGACCGCTATTATTATCTCATACGTCATTCTGCATTTTTGGTTGGTAACGCAATTTTACTGTCAATCAAATGACAGGAAAAAAAGAGCGCAATTCAGGCTGTGTTCCGAAATTCACTGCCAGTACTGAAAATCTACAGTTTACGTTACGTATATTGTAGATTTTTAGTACTGGCAGTGAATTTTAGAACGCAGCCTCAGTGTGCAATAGTTTCGCGCGCTTTTAGGCCGTGCTGCAACGCTTTCCGTCCGATGCATGATTCTCGCAACTAATTACATATTTTCTCGTGATATTTAGGTTTGAGATTAGCATGCTTTATGTAAACATTATTACGAAATACATGACTATTTTTATGTTGCATGATTTTTCGATTCGTGAACGTACGTCATGTGTCGTAACCTCTGTCGCGGTATCGATGGAAGAGACGAGTGATCATATTATAAAGTATCGCAGCATTAGAAGCATCGGATACTTTGGTATTCTCGAATAAATGTTCGTCGTACAACGTTAATCGTGTGAATGTACGTCCGACAGGTAAATTAGCTTTAATAATAATATTGCGCTCGGTATCGATAGAACAGCAGAGCCATCGCGCGATCGCTATTATTATCTCATACGTCATTCTGCATTTTTGGTTGGTAACGCAATTTTACTGTCAATCAAATGACAGGAAAAAAAGAGCGCAATTTAGTGTGCAATAATTTCGCGCGCTTTTGGGTTGTGCTGCAACGCTTTCCATCCGATGCATGATTCTCGCCACTAATTACATATTTTCTCGTGATATTCAGGTTTGAGATCAGCATGTTTTATGTAATCGGTATTACGAAATATACGACTGTCTTTATATCGCATACTCATTTTGCGAACGTACGTCGTCGTGTGTCATAACCTCTATCGCGGTATCGATTGAAATAACGAATGATCACTCATGCAAAGTTATGTAACATCAGTAGTGCTAAATGTATCGTAATTGTCAAAATGTTTGTTTGCATGTATTAATCGTACGAAAATACGCATGACATGTATAATAATATTGTGCTTAGCAACATTGTGCAGAGTTATTGTATTGTTTCCATAATTATTCTCGTCTTGTGTCGTTCCGTGTTTTTGTTTAATAATTAACAGCGCGCGATATTTCCGCTAATCAAGTAAGAATAAAGAAAGCTGCTTCTGTGCATAATAGATTCGCGTGCGTTTGTATTGCAAGATATTTTATTCGATGCATAATTATTATCACTTACTGGTTTTTTCTTAATTAATCAGAAACGAATTTTACGTCAAATGTCGTGAATGTTAATTCGAGCAACATACAAGCGTTGTAACGTGTTGATTAATGCATAATTAATTGCGATATCCGATATGTTGTAAAAATGACGCAGTTTACCTAAAAAGCGGTTTAACTTCAAATCTTTTTTGTTATATAAAAGTGCGTGTACGCAGTGTTGAATAAAGAAACGGGCAATCGGGAGTGTCGAGTAAAGATACGTACGATCGGGAGTGTCGAGTAAAGATACGTGCGATCGGGAGTGTCGAGGAAAGATACGTGCGATCGGTAGTGTCGAGCAAAAATACGAGCAATCGGGAGTGTCGAATAAAAAATCGTGTGATTCATGTATTTCACGTTATTTATGAATTCAAAATAATAGAACGTCACAATAATATATAACAAAAAATTTGTTCAAATTCGGTAGTGCCGTTATTAGCTATGTCTCTTTCTATCGTGTCGTGTGCAGTTAACTACAACAGTGATGGGGCAAGCAGAACATCGGCTCATCGATTCAACGATGGGTGAGTAAATTCATTTATTACATACACTGAATTAATTGATACGTGGTACTATTATGTCGTAACGATTGCGCGTTCACAAACGCTTTGTCGACACATTTTCTGGTGAATTAAATAGTAATAATATATTATTATCTAAAATTTGCCGAGATGTCAATAACAATGATAATATCGTTATTAAAATTTATTTATTCTTATCATAAAATGTAGAATTTTTTAATATTTGAAATTTAAATTTGAAATTTTATAAATGTAGTATTATTATTTTTGTTGCATTACTTGTAATATGAAAATATGATAATGTATTTAAAGCAACAATAGCGCAATTATTTTACATTTAAACTACAATTTATTAAAAAATTATTTCATATTTAAACTTTATTAAAACTTGTAATACATTTATTAAGTTTACATTGTAGGGATAAATTAAACAAACGCGTTATTATTTTTACATCATTAATATTACAATTAAAAATTATTATGATCAATTTTATACATGTTTATTAATGTTTTATATATGTTTAATAATGAATTAATATTTTATATATTTTTTGATAGAATATTCTTTATGGAGCAACGTCGATGTTGGTGTTACATTGGAGTCGCTTTCTACAGCATCGGTGAGTCTTATTTCAAGAAATATTTTTTGAAAATTGCGCTTACGAAATTCAACGAATGAACTAAAATATATCATTGATCAAAATATTAGTAAGCATTACTTTTAAACAGGAGATAGTGTATTAATGAACCAGCATCCTATTCATGCGAAATATTCCACAATATTCTCTAATTCCTAGTAACATAGTCGAACATGATACACGAATATTCCCCCGCGATTTAGCCAATGAACGTTAGTCTGTAGTTAAACAACCTTGTTATTTAGCCTTTCGGCAGTGAGATTTGCTTATTTTAAACAAGTTTGCACACAACTTTTAATAGTATTATATTTTTTTAAATACTTATCCCGCGGAAAACCGACTTCTGTACCGATCTTCTGAGCTTCCGATCTCAAGTATGTTCCCCGACAGCAGTGAGTCTCGGGAGAAAATCTGTCGTGCGAATTTCACGCTTCCTGCTTGGATCGTTTCGACGTTCCCACGGCGATTTCACGTTGCGAAACTTTGATGGCTGCCATGCCTATCCCGGGCACGATAACTTGTCCAAGATCCATCCTTCACTACCAAAGAGTTGTACAGCGAGTTTGTTCTATCGAATTTTCAGCGGCTCCGTACACTGCATGCCTGAGGTAAGGGGCTTACCGAAACCAGATTACGTCCTTTCTAGTGCGCTGATAGTCAAGGAGAATGAAAATAAAATAAAAATGAGGCTGTAAAGTTTAGTATGTTAGATAAATATGATAATAAGAATTTTTGACTTAAAAATAGTGTTGAAAGATTGAAGTTGATAGAAAGTATCATTTATTAATTTATATATTTAGTCGTATATATCCTGATTTATAAAATAAAATGCATTGGACAATATTTTTTCAATATTAAATAGCAATAGAGTATATATTTTTATAAAAAGAGTTGTAAAAGTTTATAACGAATTAACGATAGATAAAATTGCTATTGCATACCAACGTCTGCCTTATTGAACAAGATACAATTGTTTCGTAACGTAATCGTTTCGAAAGCCTCTTCAGCCTTGACGATCGAATCATTTGTAAATATACTAACACACAGCGCAGCCAGGCCGAATATATCGTTTACGTGTAAGCTTTCGCCCATCACCCCTTTTCGATTCGGCGTCGATACTTTATTGAATTCAGTGTTTCGATGTTTGCGATTACGTGAGCGTTCCGGGGACGATTCCCGTTATAAAATGCGATAATCGTTACGTTCTCGCGTGTATCGCAAATTCATTATTAATTCCCGCGTTGACGCCACGTAAAATTCCACGGAATAAACGAATCGCGTCGCTTGCGCACATTGTAACGCTCGCGTCGACGCTGGATAATCTGTTCGCGAACCGCCGCTGGCCGTTCTCGCATTTTCGAAAATCGTTACGTTTTATGCGGATTCCGACAAGCGATTTTCATGCTCGAACTAGCAAACGAGTCGCGGCTAAAGAGAGACGCAGATATAATCTGTGCGCCGGGATACGCGTAGGTTGTACTCGTTATTAATTTTAATAGAATTTCCGCGCAATCGTAACGAGCTTGTCCATGGCCAACATAAATCGTGCTCGTGTTTCCGACTCTCGGTTATATTATCACCGCTATCGCGTCGCACCGCGTTTATGATGATAAGCGCGTCACGCACCGTTCTGTTGTGCAAACCGTGGCAACGCCGATTCGATTAGCCGGTATGATAGCCCGCCTTTTCGATAATTTATAAGGGCGCACGCGAACATCGCCTGCTAGGACTGTGGCGCTGCCGCTACCACGGGTGATCCATCAAATTTGCAAGACCTGCGCTATGTACGCTTGTATCTCCGCGGCAGGTGTGCTCGAAAAGCCTGTGCGAGCTTAATCGATCGATTCTAACTGCTAACTCTGCACCCGGTCGCGCGCAAACGGAATATCGCATGGAATATTAAAATACATTCGGCATGGGCGAAGTCGCCCATTGGGATGTACTCCCACTATCTCGCGGTGTGTATGTATTTTATATAGAGCGCAACTCCTGTGACCGTCGCTCCTCGTGATGATAGACTCTATGAAAATTTATAGTAAATTTCTTGACGTAGGATATTTATTAAATTACCAATTATTCTAATTTCTCTACTTTTTATATAAAATCAGACTTGAAAATTCTGTTATATTCGATTTAATTCAATTTAATCACATCTAAATTTAAATTAAATTTAGCCGGACTAAATGAAATTTCGTTTGCAATTAATTCTTAAATGATTTCTTCTGAAGAAAAATTTCCAGCTTATCCAGGAATAAAAAGAACGATAGTCGTTACGGCATTAATAAAAAGAAATGATTATCAAAGAAATGATCATACGAGATGGTATGTTATCATCGCTATTAGTATTTTGTGTAACTTATCGGACTTAGGGCGGAGAGAGATTATTGCGTGCCTACTTTGGTCACTTACTTTAGCAACTACTAAAACGTGTCGTGGAAATAAATGATAATGATATAGCATCCCGAAGGTAGCTTCTGAATCAGTACATTCTTAGGATCGAGGTTTTTCGATGAGAAAGGAACGCTACGAGCATTACTGATAACGGCCACTGCTAGCAAAGGCTATCGCTTGGTCTCGACGACAGCATTCTCTATATAGAATAGGCTTGGATGAAACCAATAGATGCGGAGAGCTATGTATTATGCATGTGGCTGGTTGATCCGTGACCCTTGCTGACTTCTTCCTTCGCAGCCCCTCTTTTATCCTTACTTGCTCACTTCCAGAGTGGCTTCGTCCTATAAGCGACTACTATTTTTTTTTTTTGCAAGCTACCTAAATATTTAAAGGCTTTTATCGTACGTATATTATTGGTGAGCGTGCGATACACAATTACACACACACATACACGCATATCTTTGATACTGTACAGCATACTTGGCAGAATAGGCTTAGCAGCAGATTGTAGAAATCGTGATAAGAATTTTTTCGCGGATTATTCGACTGGATTTATTACAAATTTACATTCGAAATAACATTCAAAGACGTTGGAAAGCATATAGTATCCATCAGCAAAATATGCGGGAGTATTATGTATCGAGTCAGAAGATAGGTGGATTGAAAGCAAGATAATGTATTATGTGCTGAATGATTTTCAATATTGACAATAGGGATGCGGAAGATTGAGAAATACGGAGAAGAGATATACATTGCTGTAATGATAAAAATATGATTTATCAAAATTTAACCACAAAACATTTTCAACTATTATTCTTCGATAGTTAATTCAAAGAGCGAAAATATTGCATTATCCTTTATCAAGCAGTCGAATTGCAATTTAATTATTATTGAGATTATTATCATTGGCTTCAACGAAAATTAGATTGACCAAATTAGCACAAGATATCCTCAGGGAACTAGAGAGAAAATCTGCGTCTGTGCGAATTACCAAGGAACGGCTAGATAATGGTGGGTCGCACACTAGTAAGGAAAGAGGTCCATTGGTGAGAATCGCGAGGTCATTAAAACTTTGCATTATTTAGACTTTGGGTTAAATTACAAGTCGCATTCTCCGTCGGCTTTCGTTCGTTAACGGGGCAGAAACTCGTCACGGTATTCTCTTTTGCCGCAACAAAATGAAAGTTTGTAAAACGTTTCTTTAAAAACTCGTCGCTAGCTTGTGAATTTTGCGTCCTGTATTACAATATTATCATTAGCTGGATTCATTTTTCTATAATTCTTTATATATAATATAATATATATATATATAT